AAATTGCAAGACGATCACTTCATCTACATCATCTTGTGAATTCAATTAGACATAATTTTTTTTCCTCTGCAGAATACAATAGCAAGTGTTACTAATATACGATCATTAAAGTTGATGTAAGATTAGATGATCCATAGAAAAATTTTTTTTAAAAAAAATTTAAAATTTGTACTACAATTTTGTAAAATATCTCTTCATTGTAATACTCCGGTAACTCACTATTGTTTCTCATTAGGTTTCATCCTTTGCACCTTGATGGTCTGTTATCGTTTGTTTTGCTATCCACCATTGTTTGCTAGTCAATATAAACTTCCCTATTGATCTTGCTAATCAACACTCTTGTTGCACCATATATCCATGTTCTGTTGTGCTATTATTCCGCCTTCGAGATCCTAGACTTTCTACAAACAATTGTCTTGCGTGTGCCTTCTCCGTCCCTGCTCGACAAACATGACGGAGGGTGGTCTTCATATGTGAGGCCCACCATAAATCATCTAGTTTGTGCTCTACTCTCTGATCTTCAGTCGTTCACATGACTGAACATCGTAGAGATAGTCGACCGTTCTGGTGAACAGCGACTTCAGAGGAATCTACCATACTATTGTGGATATTATCCTCGGATCAAGCTCAGGGCAAGAATGCATCATTGAAACTTAAAGCATTTCAGCTCATCAGTTAGCATAACTGTTCAAGACTAGCGAGCAATCAAGTGACGAATGGAACGGAGCTAGTGTAGCTGTGTACATAACTTCCGCATTCCCTGGAGAATGTAATAAGAATCTCCCTAGTTCTACCATCACCACCTGACTTGAAAGTTTTATACTCCAAATATTGATAAAATTCTCGTCCAGCGATAGAAAGAAAAGACATATATATTCCCCATAGCCCCAAGAATGTTCAACAACCTGCGATACCCAAATCAAAACCTTGCGCCGCACATATGAATAACAGTGTCCAGAAAACTACTGGACACAACAAATGTTGGGGAACTCACAGCATCAGTAGTGTTCTATATAATTACAGTGAGTCGTATTGACACTATATGCACATCGCCATGCACGGAACAACTTCCGTCGGTGTGGAAGACGGCTTTATGCCACAAAATTATGTGGCGATTTAGTGGCCTGAACTTTGACCATAAGCATCTAGGTCGAAAATATAGTTGATTGTCATTCGTATCCTATTTCATATCTGCATAAGGGCCAGCAAGTTATGAGGCAACCAACGGGCCAAGCAAGTAGCTGACCCAGACTATGTTCCGAGCTCCACGCAATGCAAAGTTTTACTTGCTCACCACAAGCAAATGCTTTGCCAGAACGACACACATTTGTATAAGGGGTGTTCGATCGGCGCACACCGATAGAAGTGCAACCCCAATTGACGGTTTGTACCAAATTTGACCATGCCATCTGCCCCAAAGCTCCCTAATCAGGATCGAGCACAGAGATAAAGAGGTACTTGCGTCATGTGAGCTCATCACCCAACGGGTGCATTAGGCTAAGTTTTGAGATCCCGGCCGATCAGACCCATCTGCTCGCTCCTATGAGAGCTCAAGCAAATGAGCTCCGTTGCGCTGCGAATATCAGCAAAACATAGGCTTCCCGCAGAGCTTTCGGCGGAACACTTTGATGGACTTAGTGCACAAACACGTCACCTCCAATCGCAGCAGCCAAGTAAATCTTCTACGATAGGACAGAAGTGCCATGGTAGAAGCTTGAACCACCATCAACTCCTTGTTCTTGGCTATAAAATTCCATCAGGAATCGTAGTGATGCTTGCACTATCATTATTCTGATAGAAATGCACCCACAAAACAATAAATCCCATATGACGGACAAAATAAGTAGAAACAACTGAGGAAATTTGCACCAATTTTTTTGAGTAAAGAAAGAGTCTGCAGATGAGCTGAGTAATGAATTACATCAGGCCTGATATCGAGGATGAATGCATGAAGCGATAAGCGCCTTGGCTGGACTATCTACAGACATTTTTTCCATCACAAGCTCCGTTGTTTGTGGATGCGTGACTCGTACATAGTTTCAACAATTCGACCTACAGACTTTGTAAAAGATTGTTATAGAGAAATCGGAGTTACACTTCTACCTGCAAAGCAAGTTCTGTTGGGTGAGTGTAGGATATCACCCCGACACATTAACGACGCGACGAGGTCATAAGCTAGCCGGTATGATCTTCACCTCCTTCAAGCCCCTTGAGACCGGCTACATTAACCATCCCTGACAGTCCAGTGAAGTATTCATTCATAATTATTTATACTGGATGACTAGAGGCATACCGTAAAAGAGTCATGAAACGAGAGTGATTCCGTCGTGGGGTAGCATATATACTTGTTACACTTCCATTTACACAACTGAGATTTTGACATAAAAGACAATAAAGCAATAAAATCAGCTCATCATTGATACTCGCATTTAACTAAGTATGATTCCAGTAAGTACAGTGTATCGGACCTCGGATGCCGAAAAGCCTAAAAACCAAAAAAGTTGACCAGATGTAGAAAGCGTCTTCAGAAGTACTTCCTCCCGTAGAAATCTCAATTAGTAAAAACAGACAATCTTACGGCGAACATACGTAATGAAAACCACCAAAACCATGATTTGAGAGAAAGCTAGATACCATTGGGCTCGTGATAAACATTGAGTACTGTATAGTATAGTGGACCTAAGGTATATGATAGGCTTTTTATTAGTATCAATTGTCAATGTAACTGTACGTTAATGTTATAATAACGACAGTACCGTCGAGTATTCAAATAGCATCGCGTCAAATGTGAATAACCACACGCGACTTGCTACTTGAAGAGAAAGATTGTTTCACTTAGCAGTGAGTAATATAAATAAATATATTCTCTATTTTTCAATTATTGAAAAGAATCAGATCAGAGTTCTGAGAATACTGGCAACATTATTTTGGAGAAAAAGAAGATACAATTTGCAATACAAGAAGTATCTTCAAATTAAATCGGATGGTCATTTTATTCACGAATAGTATTATTGAATGTAGGAAACACCTCTTAGATCATGTAAGCGGTATCGATTAAAAATATGTACAACACAAAGCGCAAGAAGAAGCTTCACAGAGTTTTAAGAAGAGACAAATCTTATTCTTGCGCGAAAAGGCCCAACCATCGGGAATCTGTACTAGGAGTCAACAAACTCACAAGTGACACATTCTCAGTTATGCCCAGCTGCATTGGCAGTAAACCTTCTTCTTCGAGGACTTGCCTTGTCTGGGAATCTTGCAGCATAATGTTGAGTCTGTGAATTACCCTGTACTATTCCCTGTTCCGGTTGGTTCCGGTTCCGATTTACGATGGAATGAATCTTGTTACTTTCCCAAATATGAGTTCAATTCCACATGCACTTCTCTTTGGTACCGCGGCTGCACACCTCGTTGCATGTATAACATCTCCAGATTTCTCTATGGTCAAGAAACATGTAGATTTTCCATCATGTACATGTTTGGTTTGGCCAAGTAAGGTTTGTTCGGAATCATTCAAGGGAATAACGAGCTAGACGCATGTGTCACGAGCTAGATAGCATAACAGCACAACGACGGGAAGGCCGATGTGTATCCGACTTTCTGCAATATCTACGCAACTCGAAGCATGAGATTAATAGTTTCTCGCATGATATGAAAAGTCCATTGTTTGAAATTGCTAAGTGGCGTAAAAACTTATTGACGATGTCCGACATCAACATTCAAGTCCTTCAAGCTAGTAAAAGTGTTGCAATTTCTCCAGTACTAATGTGGTTAATTCAACACTCAAGTGCAGGATCACTAAGGACATCAACTGGTAGAAGAGCTTTGACATCATGAATTTGTCACGTGAGAAGAATGCATCTGCAAGATTCAAACGTTTTCGGACAATAAGGGTCGTGGTATGAATTCATATGTCAGTAACCGGGGTAAGAAATCCATCCACTTGCTATCACCTACCGAACAAAATTCCTCTCCTCAAACGTCAGATTGCTTATCGTCATAGAAACTCAATCTTCTGTGGTTTTTTAACAAACCTCTAAAATTGATGGCAGAAGACCAAAGCATTCGAACCTGGATAAGACCATCTATGCTGAGAAGAATCGCACTCATCGTTGCAGCTGAATTAGGCTGGGAATAGAGGGACGAGCAATGGACCCTGGTTTCATAATCAAAACTTGTAGTGAAAGCGATCATACATAAATTCATTGATAGACAAAACTCTATTCCGTTTTGTCTATCAATGAATTTATGACAAAATTCATTGATAAACAGCTTTGTAGACAGCTCTTGTTTAGGATTGGGCAGGGTACTTGGATACCTACACTTGGACATCTATATTGATTACACCATAACCAAGGTAATTAATGATTGAGCTGGACGAACTTGAGCAACAAGTATGGCGTGTACACGGTCAGACTTAAGACATACTTATGACACAATCCCGATACAAACGCTGCAAGTTACCACCAATGAATTCGCTCATTCGACTACCAACATTCGACTCAGCTTCATTACTTCACACAGACGATCAAGAAACAAACACCAGTCATGATTCCTGCTGTTTTTCGCCTGCAATGAAAGTCACAGACCATTATGCCTGTGAGGACTGGAGAATTCAAAATTGGCATTCACCTGTTACTGCAGAAGACAGACGGTGTCATGAGTAGGATGTTCCTCTGCACACACGTGGTTTGGATAATACAGACTAAGTATCTTCTGCCCACAAACAACTTAGATTTCCGGCGAATGGTTTATGAGAAGCGTTGGAAAAAATGGTTTCATCATTCCGCCTCAGTAAACACAAAATTTAGGCACACAAGTTTCCGGGAAACATGGCATCGTTGTGGGCTGCATGCCTTCGAGTAGGTCTCGTACATCAATACACAAGTCTACATTGGGGATCTCGGAACCCAGGTTCAAAGAAAACAGCAGCGTAATCTGACAAAAAAGGGCAGATCAGTTGTGTACTGAATTCCCCAAAAACAAGACTCTTGATCGCACAAATCGGGGCTGAGACGGGAAATATTTAATCCTCACCGGGATGATAAAACAATTAATTGGCGCTGTAGAAGTGTAGCAAGAAAGTCCACAGCTACAAAATTCTGGAGACAGTTTAGGGTACCCAATTGTTTGCATTCCCAGAAATCACGACTACAAAGAAGGCTGTAGAATGTGTTGTTTCTTTTCATCCTCGTCAAAGGTACTGCTACAAAGCGAGCGGACTCAAGTAATCTCCTGCTCCTCAAGGTTTCTACTAAGATATACGAAACAGACGAGGCTAGCTGCTATTGCACTCAAAGGCGAGCTAGGAATGTGACAAACATGACAACGTTGACAGACATCAATATGAAGTTAAGGCTCCAATTCGTTATGTTAATGGTATTTACGCATTCTAGGAACAAGGCCGGTGCGGGGATATCCCAACCATAGTGAAGTTAAGCTAAAATCATGTACATGTTGCACTTCTAATATCTACATAATACAATGGGGGCAAGTGCACGTACACGCAGAGGAACTGCTTCAGCATCTAGTGGACCCGAAGATACGCTAGATGTGGAAAAATGTCAGTTGGATGTTAGCCTCTTTGAACCCACTTTAGCCACCAGTGGCATTCATAATTGCCTTCTTGAGCTCTTCGGACACAGGATCTACGGAGCTTGTGAAATCTGTGACCGCCGAACCTGATGTCTTGTTCCCGCCCGATCTCAACACATCATGTGATTCGGTCTTCGACATTGATTCTTTAGCATGACTTCCATCTCTAAGCTTCCCACGAGTAGACTTGCCATTAACTTTGGCACTTGTATTGGTCTCCGATTTACCATTCAGCTCGTCAAAGAGCTGCGATCGCAGGGCGTTCTCCTCCTGCATCAGAAGCTCTGACGCTTTCGCAGGTAATTTCTTGGTCGCAATCTCGGATCTCAGGTCATCCATCGTCTTCTTCAACATTTTGTTCTCAGAATGCAGCAGCTGGAGCTGATATCTCATCGAAACACACATAGCGGCGATACGACCCATTTGCTGGCTATCATCGCCGGCATAACTGAACCCTGGAAGAGGAATGTCTGCCGTTTCGAAACTTGGCTTCCCTTGATGGCGCCTGAAGGGTTCGACAGCCTCAATGCTAAATTTATCAACGTTGAGCGACGGCAATCGAATGTCAGTGATGCTGAATCCGTCTCTAAAACTGCTGCATGCACTTGATCCAAACCTCATACTCCACCTCACCTTAGCCACAGCCCTATCTCCGATAGGTAGAGCGGAATGGGCGCTCATGCTCCACCCATTGGTGCTGGCACCCATCCAGGAATCCACTCGGCTGCTCTTAGATACTTCTTCTGGTTTCTCTACGTCCACCACGTTACGCGAATGAGGGTGCCGCACGTCATATACAGGAGTGAAGCCATCTTCGATGGACCCGTTGTCGGAGGATCCATCTTTGTAATGGTCAAGGGGCTTTCCCTCTGATTTTGTATTCTCACTTTTGTCCAGAGTTCCGTTGCTAAAACTCTGAATCTTATCTTTCACGGAAAAGAGTCCTCCTGCGGTGAGCCCATTGACAAGCTTCCCAGGCGGACTAAGATCTGTAGGAGACGCATTGGGTGAAGAGAAACCGTCGTATGAGAGGGCCCGTATGCTGTCCTCCTGCCTCTTCTCGTCACCTCCCAAGTCTATGGGCCTCATCTTCTCTTCAAAAGCTATGGACGATGCCCCTCCGTCTTTCCCGTCCGCTGCTGTGAATGCAACACTGATGCTTCTGATCTCTTTCCGGAAGCCAAAATCACCGAACTTGGGCTTCACTCTGAATGAGAAGGAAGGGGTGCCAGTAGACGACAGGTTGATTTCTGCAGACATAGCCAATGCTGCTCCATGTGGGGAACCCCACACACCAAAACCCGTCTTCAAAAGGACGGCGAAAGGAGATTCAACATTGTTAGGTTTGTACGAAAATCTCACTGCAGGACCCGCATCGCTGTATGTTCCCAAGTGAAGGGCCAACTCCTGAGGATCACCGGACGTGACGCCGGTGAAAAGAGGCAAGCCCAACAAATTGAGCGGCACCTTCGCGCGGAGCAAGGGCTTCTGCTCTTCTCTCACCTTCAGTGACGCCTTCATATTGACGATCAGTTAGACTTGCATACCCAATTTCAATCTCTTACATGAAGAGACCCGCAGCGGCGTCCAGCCTCGAACTTATTTCCTTCAAACTACGAGCAAGTTCTGGAATGAGGACGGGAGCAGCACCTGGACGAAAATCACTTCATTAATACGCACCCAGGCTTTACGAGCTCGGCATTCGAAGAATCAACAGCGAATTTGACAGGTCACAGTGACAAGACTAACGTACAGTGGCCGCATAATCACCGCTGGTGCCGACGACGAAAAATTAAAATTTAATTAAAGCCCGGCGGAGAGAACGGAGCGTCGGTACTCACCGGCGGAAAGAAGACAGCGAGAAATTACGCCCGAGCACCTTGCAAGAGAGAAATCTCAAAAGTCCTGAGGTGACAAAAGAGATCGAAAAGCACAAAACTCAGCCAAACTGCGAAACTTGTAATCAATAATTTGAGAACAGTCAGGCGTTCGTTTCGAACAAAAGGACTCGCTCGGAAGCCGGATTGTCCCCCTGCGTCATACCCCGAAACACGCGAGAACTTCTACCCAATCGAATCCTCGACCACGCCGCCGAACCCAATTCCGGAACCAAACATATGAAGCACCGAAGCCGACACACCAGCAATCCTTGGCAACTTCGTGGCCAGGACGGGACGGTGCAGGGGTATGTGGCAAGAGCAGGAACAGGGGCATGACAAAACAAAACATAACACAAAACAACACACACCACAAAAAACATGACGTGCCAAGCAAAGGAGAAGGCAGAACAGGGGCTCAGTAAAGCGGAGCCCATCGAAGGCAACTCACAATTGGACAAACCTTCGGATCCCCTGAGTCAGTCGGCGCGCACAACACGCTCGCAGCGGTCGAGTCGAGACGAGACGAGACGAGATGAGAACAATCACAAATAACGAACTGTTGTCTCGGATACACAGAAAGCAAGCGCTTGCACCAGAACCACACTTGCTCCTGCTTGCCTTCTACTTATGAGCCGATGCCCGTGCTCCCTTCCTGCCTTCTTCGGCTGTGCCTTGCTCGCCGTCCCCTACCTCTCCGCCAGACCTGCTTACTCAGAGCAGCCCGATTGTGCGCGGACTTTATGTATGGAGCTCACCTCGAGAGTGTGACGAGGCAGTCCAGCACAGCCCGGCACGCCCGCGAGAGAGAGAGAGAGAGAGCAGAGCTCGGGCCCTGTTCCGCCAGACGAACGAGAGGGAAACGCGCCCAAACCAGACACGGCCAAAGGGTCCGCTGCCCTGCCCTGCCCTGCCCTACCCTACTAGCGCTCCGCGCTCGGGGATTTTGAACTCTTTTCAACGCTTCTGAACTTGTTTGAAAACGCTCTCTTGACCCTCCTCTGCCGGCCCCAGCTCGAATCCTCCTTTCAATTCAAACAAGAGGGAACCGCCTCCGGGACATGGGCATGGGCAGCCGTTTGTTTACCGTTCTACCGCGTTCCTCGGGCTCCCTTTACAGCGCCTGCGGTCGCTGCTGCTGACGTCGTCCGAGAAACGGGAAAACCACTTCCGGGAATCGGAGGGGTAATTTCTCGGCCGAGTAATTTTCAGAGCTGGTTTCAGGGGAGCCTCGGTTTATCCATGCACACTGGCTGGTGTTGGATTGGGTTCCGAGTCCCGACTGTGCTTCGCATGAGCCCATCATGGGCCAAGTATCCCAGCCGATTTCTTGACCTGCCATTACAGCGGCATGGGCCTCTCCATCTTTAGATTATTGTACAGTTTATTTTAGACCACTTGTTTCCGTTGTTTTTTCCGTAGATCAGAATCCAATGATATCGGTGAAGGAGCAATCACATTTCTGATAATTCGTCGGTTGCTATTGAACCTTGATAGTTCGAATACATCGGCGGCAAAAGAGAAGGATTAATAATTCCATGGCGATGCGAGTGGGACCGAAGCCCATGTTACTTCCACCCGTGTGGTTTCGTCCCTCCACGAAATGACGGGTTTTCTATCTTTTTGCTACATGACTCGGTGGCACTATTTTCTCGATGCTATAAGGCTACAATGTCGAAGGATGTGGTGATGGCAGAGAAACAGTGCTCTCTCTAATCCTCTTTCCCAGCTGCGACACAGCGCTTAAGTTCTTTCAATATATGTTACTTAAGTAACGTGTACAGGTGTCATGGGCCAGTCCCGCGGACGATTAGACGCGCTCCCCGGCAGTGATTCATTGCAAGGAGGTCCTACTTCAGCGGTTATGGGCAAAACTCGCAACCGTTCCGGATCGAGTCATAAATGAGAACTGGCAAGAATGATAGCACGCTCAAACGATAAGAAGGGTTGTGACACTCTACTGCACATTTGCTAATTTAGATTTTATATTCGTGTTAATTCTTGATGGGATTGGTGCAAGATGGGAATCAGTGTTAGAAAAGGAGGAAAGAATGGGAATTTTTCTGGACTCAACAACACCAGAACTTAAACATTGAGCTATAAAGTTCTCTCTGAGTATGATCAAATATATATATATATATATATGTGAGTATTTCAACAATGATGTTCACACGTATCACAAATCGTGTGGTATACATTTAATTTCATCATAGAAAATATGAGAAGTCACATTTATAAGTTTCCATCTATCTACAGAGAGAACATGATCCTTATTAATTAAACATAGTTAAGTACGTTGATTTTTCTAAACCAAGCATAACATTCATATTATAAAATAATTTACTTATCTTTCTTATCAGATTAAAATTCGCATATTCATTTACAGGAAAATATACAAATCATTCTTTCTTACCAAAGCTTACAAAATATTAATAGTTAAAAGGAATTTCTAACATTTTGATGTGAATCTGCTAAACGGAACATTGTACTTGTTTTCAAATTAATAAATTAGAAATAAGTTATATGTTAGTTAGATCTAAGTATATATAATATTGTGAATTGAGGATGAAATTTATGGAGAGATGAGGAAAAAATCCGAATTTTGCAACTCGATATTTTGTATCAGTGCATTTGAAGATATGCATAATTAGTTTGTGGATTTGCAACATACAAAATTTTGATGGTGTCTTTCAAGGTGATATATTCAATGTTAGTTTGGGGTTTGATTGTATACGTAAAAATTCAGTGAAAACGAAATTTGGTTCAATTTACTAGGTTTATTTATTATCTGTCCAATTAACCATTGAATTTTGTCGCAAAATGATGCAAATAAAATTTCTTATTGTTGGAAGAGTTTCTGAAAATTTTCAATCCCTGAAAATAAATTAAAGAATAAAATTTTTTATTTGAATTTTTTATTTAATAAAATGTATTTTAAAACTCTCGGAGCGTAAAATCCTTACTTCTGGTGTCAAAAATCATTTTTCATCGGCATTTAATTCGGAAATCAGTTTATTGTAATTATTACTTGATAAAAAATTTGATCAATCATTAGCAGTTTCTTTTTTTATCTATAAAATTTAAATTTTTCATTTGATAATTATGGAAATTAAAATTAATTAATTTGTGACCATTTTAAAAAATATTCACAGTCTCAACGTAATTATTAGACCATGTGATAGTATAAAGAATTGAATTGTCTGAAAGATCACTTCAATATTTGTTCTGATATTTTCCAGATCTTTTAATCAATTGAGTTTTATTTTTGAATTCTAAAAACTATATATATTTTGAATTGATTTTTCTGAAATTTATATTCTATAATAATAAAATTATATCTCAACATCCTAGTTGAAAGTAACAATCAATGAATGAAACTTCCACACATCGTATAGCTAAAAACGATGTAACTAGGCGTGACTGCCTGACGAACATGAAATTTTCGTAAATGATATTTTTTTGATGAGAAGATAGAACGCTTTTACTTTCATGTTTCAATATGTTATTATTGATTTGATGCTGCTGTGGATTATCATAATGACATGTCTGTGGAGATTATTCTAAAACTTGTTAAACCATGATATATTTTAATTTCATAGAAAGATTTAAAGTATAGTGATAAGAAAATATATGTTATACGATACGTTTATATTCTTGTTAGCATTATCATAATAACATGAATATGTTATAGCAGCAATCAATTATAATCGCATGATAATATTTAATATTCATTTTCATTCAAAAAGTTGTGATAAATTTGATCACATGTTTGATAGATGAGTTTGCAAGTTTTATTTTGATCTACTACTTTTCATCTGGAATTTTATCCATTAACTTTCTAGTATGTATAGTGTATTACAAATATGAAAATTTTGAGCATAAATTTTGATGATCAGTTCATTCGAAATGTCATGACACTGATAAAATATGGATATATCAACCTGTTGACGTATTTATACAACAATATGCCAAGTTAAGTTGATAAGATCAAATCTGAAGGTTTTAATATTGATGTTGTTTTTTTTAATGTTATGAACCTAACTTTATCAATAACTATAATGTTAAAGAATGGAATTTTAAATTATCACTACCTCTTTTCAAGAGCAAATAATATAAAATTAATAATATAAAATTATAAAAATTAATATAATATTTGTAGTTCAGTAAATTTAAATATTATTTTCCTAATTTTCAATTATCTCTGCAAAAAATTAAACAGCAAGTTATATATTTACATTGGATTTTTTATTCATATTTGATGGTATGTATCAGGTTATCAAATTTTTTATTCAACTTGACTATGAAATATTAGATCAAAGATGTCATTTGACACAATCTTAAAAATATTTGATGAGTTAAAAAAATTTCATTCAGAGTTCTTAAGAATAAATTACATTTGATAATTGAAAAGAAAATTGCGTCAATTTGCATTGAAATTTTTTTAGACCTTGAATTCCAATAAAATATAATTAAAAAATCCAATGATTATTAGAATCTTTGATAAAATCATCATATAACATTTAAATGATTTAAATTACCTGTAATCTTTTTTAAAGAATTTGACATTGTAATAGATAGTTGACACATTCTTACATAAATTTGATTAATTGCACTTTATTTGAATATTAATGGATGTTGCTGATGATTATATGATGATATGTTTTTTTGGGTATTGAATAACTTTCACACCCATAACTAAGATTATTGCAATATAATAGGTATATATAGGCATTTATATTTCATGAATTGAAACATTTTGTTGAGATCTAGACCATTGTTGAATTATATCTCCACGGTGTGGCTTGGTAGCCTATTCCTGATTTTTTGGTTCAGTTCGTTTATTCGTCCATATTTTTTCGTTGCAATGTAAGTTCAAAACATGGTCAATATTTGTATTTAACCTCAAAAGTTATATATACAGATCACTAGATAATATGTAAATACGGGAAACACTACTTAGATTTTAGGGGAACTCTATAGAAAATAATCTGATATTGGAAAGCATATAAGCTAGTTAGGGGACTCTATACGATAAATTCTGATATGGGAAAATATATAAGCTAGTCAAGGATGGATTTGCAATTATTAATTAATTTCAGATTGTATTTATATTCGACCGAATGATCGATTTTCATAATATTTGCGAGACAAAATGAATGAAGATGTACCTTAAAATGATTGCGATTACTTCAATTATGAAGATCATAAAAGTTATTTTAACATCCAAACATTCATTTCATATATAATGAAACACTGTCATTGATCATGATTATTGGTATACACATTGATCATATGGGATGCAAGAAGAATGCTCATCCATATAAAAGACGATTAGTGTTATGACGCGCAGAGGTGGACATAAATGTGGACTTTTATAATCATGGGATATATCTACACGTTTGACATCCCTAATGAACTATTATGCTTGGAAAGAATCATCCAATACGACTCAGTGGATCCCAATGAATATTCTAGAAGGGAAGCTTCTCAATCCCCGAATCATTTCATTTTTTCAGTCGAAACTTGAAATAAAAATTAAGTGAACCTGAAGATTCACTTCATGCTCTGAAGGCGTATTTGTTTTACCTGTACCACGAAGTGATCCTCTTGAGAGGTAACAGTCACGGTTGGACTTTCACACGTTCGAAAGTTCATTTCATTAATAGCAAATGTGAACTGGATCCAAGCTGTCTCACAAATAAATGTGGAGAGCCTTCCAAATGCGTTAATCTGTTTCTATGTCATTCTATGTTAATGCCTTCCAAATACGAAATCTGTTTCTATGTCATTTTGATGATCGTAAAGTACTTCCCCAACTTGAGAGTAAGTAAATTAAAATCATTTTCACCCGTGAATAAAGATAGTGGACATTCCACCTGATCCCGCACCCAGTTTGCTAGAACTTTACTGCATAGATCGTGCTCATCTCACGATATATCTTGTTGGAATGTTTTCTCCCTTTTCTTTCTTGCTATGATTTCGTCTCTTGTTAATAAGCACAAACAGTTTGCTCGGAGCCTGGCTCAGTCCAAGCTTGAATGGTAAATGTTCACCATCAGAACACATTCCCCTGTAAGACAAAAATCTGATACCACTGAATTTTTCTTGACAAGGCACAAGCGAATTCGCTGGTTGCCTTAAAAGGGAATAGAAGGGTTTTCCTCATGAAAACCCATCTAGACCTTGAATACGCCCAACCGCCAACAAGAATTACCCTCCTGAAGAGAAACTGTGGGCAACCGCACACATGGAAAATGACACACGTTAGAACAAAGGCTCAAACGCACTTCTTCTCAGGTCACTCTTCCCAGCCTCGGTTTCCTACGATATGGTGAAATCTTATTCCTTCTTCTAAGCATGCATCTAGAGAGAGCTGCCCTACAAGCTGGTAGAAAAGCCTGCTTCGTGGAAGCGTGAATTCCTCACGAACGAGACCAAGCAATAAGTTTGAATATCCATGAGACCGAGTTAGCTCGTGGTCACATACGTTTTAGTTTCATTCAGTGCCTCCTTCCCTCCCATGTTCGAGACGTTGCTTGCAAGATGCGTGTGTGACCTGATGATACAAGAGGTGAAAAGAGAGCGCTATCATGATGGTTGATGACGATGAAGTGCATCCACGCATGGTTCTCAAGACAAGCTCTTATCCGATAGTTGGTACAAAATTCTTCAAAATAAAACTAACAAAGACGAAATGCCGAGGGTTAAAATGAAGGATCGATTCACTCAGAGAGGTGCGAACGAACATAGACGGCTCTCGTACCTAGTTACTTCAGACTGCCAGCACGAGAATGCCTCTTTCCAAATCAGCGGAAGGGAGAAAGGGAAAAACTGGAGAACAAGGAGCGTATGAACTGTCAACAACAAGAACACCTTGGCTTCAGAATCCCTTTCTTGGGAGATGAACGACATGTTGATGGCGCAAAAGGCTTGAGCATAGCAGATGAAGGAAGACCTGCACGACAGCAGTCAACGAAATAGAGGACTCGCTCCTTATTCCGAAAGGTGATGACTAAATAGGCGGCTTGCACAATGCAGACCACGTGAAGCTATGAGACCCTCAGAAATATGATGACAGGATATCCAGATCTGAGCTAAGGCGAACCTCCAAATAGATCCGTAGACGCAGGTGTACACATGATTGAAATTAGTCCGCTGCATATGAAAGACCTTCAAGAAGGGAAGATCCAACCCGATCCTTGTCAACAATCACCAACGTAAGACAAGGTCAGTACCTAGCTAAGCATAACAAAAGCTTACGATCCCGTACTTCGAAGGAGCCATCGCATTGAGATCATGTTAAACTTGTTGGTGGGTCGTCATAAAACTAGCGGTGAAGTTGCTTCACACAGGTTGTCAAAGAGTGTGCCAATTTTCAGCAATTTTACAATCATCTGGAGACTAGCTTTTTGGATTCAGTTCTACAGGTATTAACACTGGGCATCAACATTTGCTGATATAGTTGAGTTCATAACAGGATGCATTAGGTCGAGCAGTGTCATACTGAGTCATGAGACACTTATTCGACCCTCACATGTCCCCTATAGCTGACATTTAACTCATCAGATGATATCACAGACGACATATCGCTGTCAAGATGTACCAATCACTCGTAGTAAAACGTAATTTGAGGCTTTGAACACATGCCTTAGGTTTTACTCACGGGTAACAAATGCCAGCAGCTGACGATTGCTTCTTTGAAACATGCACTCTGAATGAGATATAGCATGCTGCTAAACGGAGACATGGATAAAAGCACATATATCGAGCACGTCTTCGGAGCAACCAGTCGTTCAGAGGTTCTATCTCTGAGAACTGCGGGTCTGCCTTCCAGAAGCAGATAAACTTCTCAAGAGTATAGGGTCTCCTCAGAGTTTCGGGTGATCCCATTAAACAATCCGCTCACCATAAACACCAAAGATGTGCAATGACTCCAACCTCAGCACTACAGACCTAAATATCGAAGCTTGAGGTCCCCTGTATTAACCACCGGGTACGGATGCCTGAAAGTAGCTTAAAGAACTGAGCAGGCAAGTATCACTTATCCATCAAAAACATTGCTGGTACTCCGCCATATCTATTGAGGTAGAGGGTATCAAAATCAAAGTAAATGGCCTGAGGTAGAGCACTCAACGGGCTAGGACTAATTTCACGTGTACGGGGAGTTTACATAATTCTAGGATTACCAAAAGACTACTTCCGGAAAACTCAATGGGTGTCCTCAAATATTAAAAGATACATCCCTACGCATAAAGCAATGTTCTGGAGTACACATTTATTAGGGAAATTCACTGACAAATGAGAGGGATGGAAGGTACCCCGGTGAATCAAGGTCCTTTGGCGGGCTCGATCCACAACCTTAACCCAGCTGACAATAATCCACAATAGTTGTGTAGAATTAAAATTCTCGCTGCCAGGGAGAGCCAATGTAGAGCCTACTCTTCACCTCCATGAATTGGGCCAAAATCCATGGATCCAGTAACCGGTCTTCCAATTATCTAAAGTGATGACCTTCCTAACAGCTGTAAAGCCTATTGCCATCACAAGCAGCATAATGAAGCGTTGGGCAGCTTTCGATCTTATCTCGTGCAAGAAGTGGGTGACGAAGGCAAGAAGAAGGCCAACGACGGAGTATAAAGAACCTACAACGAAACCCTCTGCTCCCAGCTGCATTCCCGAGCCCTGGTAGAAAAAGAGAAGCTTTCCCGGATTATTTCTATCAGGCATGACGAATGGCATCCTTCGTATGATGTTGTGCATACCGCCCGATACGCTGAAAAAGTAGACCAACACGGCTCCCAGGCACCAAAACTTAGAGTCATGCAAGACCGTGTCCTTGGCCAATATTCTTTTGATGACAAAAGGGGCTGTTACCAACAGACCTCCGGCCAAAACTAGAAGCTGCTTCGTCGACACGGACGGTGGGCGCTCGACAGGGCCGATCTTCATATTACTTTTACCTTCGACGAACGATATCATGCCCTCTGCTGTCCGATGGAAATCACTCTGCTCCATTTCATCGGCTTCTTTCAAGCCGCCACCACCAGGAGGCAAGTGCTTAATGTGGGGCAAGGTACTCACCCCGAAAGCTGCAAAGCTGGCTTGAGCCTGCTTGAACTCGAGTTCACAGAAAAACAATTTTCCACTGCCTCCCGTGCTACCCTTTGCGTGCGCAGACGCGGCCAGTCCATACTCGCGTCTCAGCTCTTCCAGCCTGAGCTCCGCGTTGTCCCTCAACTGCGAAGCATCGAAGAAGATTACCAAAGAGTAGGGCCGGGGTTCCGGCGATGGATTGGCAAATCGTCGCAGAGACTCATCGTCTAACCTGACCACGCCATCGGCAGATCGAGCCTGTCTCTGCAACAGATCAGCGATCCTCTCCGCATTCACATTTCCTCCATAACAAATCTCTGAAAACGTCAGCAGCACAAGTGCGACCAACAAAACCCCGCCGACTCTCGCCATCCTGCTTCTCGTCTGCTCGCTTCTGCTCATCAATTTCTAAGCTGCAAGATAATGCACCTGCTATCCATCGATCGACTTCCCTCGTTCCTGTTCCAATTTTCTTGCCGTGTGTTCATCCGACTCCCTTCCTCTTCTCCCTCCCTCTCTCTCTCGTTCTTTGACCTTCGTCGTCCGCGCCCTCTTCCTCTCACCAGTTCCGCTTCCACGCGTGGCCGAACTTTGCCGAACGAGGCCGGCCCTTGAACTTTGCCGGACAGCCGGACGGCCGGAAGACCGGAAGGGCGAATAGACGGGTTCTACATTTTCCCGGAACGTCTTAAGAACACACGCGTCATTCTGCCCTTGGGGATTGTCATTTGTTCACGCTGCCCCTAACTTATCCTCTGGTCAGATCACTAACTAGTTTAATCTTTTGGTTAATTTCTCTTTTAATTCTATATTATTTCTTTCACTTCATGTGGATATTTTGTAGGGATTTTGTAATTTTTGGATCCAGTATGACACATGTTTCCATTTGTGATGCTTTTGAGGCTAGCCTCATGTTGAGTGTTTGGTTTCATCCTTTCATTCATGTCACATTTATGAATATTGACTTCTTTTTGGTACAGTACTTGTTTAACTTATAAATAACCCGTGGGGAACCAACATCCAGCAATGAGACAAACCTTGAACACAACGAGGTTAAGATATTACAACTTGCTTAAGCTGCTACAGATTTTGGGCTTCTGGGTCATTCAATTTTGAAAATATGAGGCTACTGGTAGATTTTCTTTCGTGAGTTTCGTAACTAAGTGCACATTTAGGCCTTGCATTCAAAGAACTGGAAGTGGCTTTGCTTGCGAGGGGATGTGAAACCCTGAGAAGCTTAGTTTTCATTCCGCTTCGCAATTGATATCTGCTGGATTTGAGCACTTCAACACCTCAACATAAAATGGTTGAAATATTATCCTAAATCTAATGCGGAAGAATAGCTAGATTCTCAATGTGTGCTTACTCTCTAATTCTTCTAATTGTTTGGATGACAAGGTCAAATGCTTTGCTCTTGGGGTCTAATAATGTTATATTTGATATTTTAACCGATATCTAATAAAATCATCACGGTTTACAATTTAATCGATAGTTAGGCAAGTATAAGTAGTCATAGCATTCCTTAACTCGAGTGTTATCTTACTCTTTTCAGTGTGTTTTCCCCGTGGAATCACAGTGGCTTCATCGAAGAAGCACCATTTGTTTGTTCCTTCACCAAGTTAATCTCATTTGCGAAATGTATCAAGGTATTTAAGGTTGATTAACATACAATACATTCAGTTTTCTCCAACTAATCATGTGATTCATAATTGGAGTAACCATCCACAAAACATTCACATGCTTTTGAAAATACAACTCTATCTCCAATAGAATAAATAACAACTGTAACATATCTTGGCCATCAGATTAAGTCAATTTTTTGTCGTGTTTTAAAATAAGATTTGAACACTTCTTTGAGAAATAACTTTCAGATTGTGTAGTTAGAGGGGACAGTGTTGGAACAACGATGAGACCACGAATCTTTTATGAAATTGTGCTATGATCAGTTTCAATTTCTGGTTAGTAGATTACATTCAGGACGTGTTATATGTGAAAGACCATCCACCTTTATTGTGTGAGACAAATACGTACTGAAACCGTATCAAATTGGTGGAAACTATAAAAATAAAATATAATAGACACAAATACTAACTGAATAATAAACGGAAAAATGACCATACATAGAAACATAGATAGATATTAGTTCGGGAGATTACAGTCTCTATTTAAAATCTGGAATCCACATTGTACAAAGTGAAAATTGTCAGAGATTAACTCGTGTAGAGACAATATAGAGAATATAATGCATGTAAATATTTATATTTTGTACAATCTGAAGGCAGCTCTTTGCCAACGGAAAATTACAAGATTTAATATGTATTGTTACCATTCAGCCAAATGACGTTCTTTGAGTCAATTGCTAGGAGTACAACTTTGTTAGATCCTCATTGATATCCGAATACATGTACCTTGCTATTTTGGGCAAACACATCCCAAGAGTGGAATTTCAGAGACATGATTTCAAAGGCAAGCGAGTTTTAGTAAATCTTTGTGAAGTTGTGTTCATTGTCGGCCATTTGTATTCATTCATCTCGTAGGTTTTATTTCGTTGTAAACTATCACTGAGTACTGCCATTCTTCACTTCATTACCTCATTCTGCTCACTAAGGCTAAGCCCAAGACAGCTAAATACAGAAATATGTAGAACACATAAAACATAGAGATGAACAAATTCTCAATACGAGAAACAAGTTCGCTGCGTGATGCACGCATTGCTGCAAAATCCTGTAATTTCTTTAAGATAACTCCCAGCTCACAATTCCATCAACATGAAGTGAAAAACTGAACAAACTGCTTGAGGTTGCAATTCAAAGATCCTACACTGGACGCCCTTCCAAACCTCAACAATTTTGCTTCTAACTATACACCTGTCATTCCGTAACTGAAAGCCCTTCCAAACCTCAAGATTCTTGTTATATTATCTACACCCCGTACATGGACGGCAGGTAACATGGATATCACAGAGAAATAAAACAAGGAACCTTGCAAAGGACATCAGGTGCGATATCTGCATAAACAACCACATAAACAACAGGTAAGATACATATTCGGCGCCGATACATTTTAACGACAGATGAAAAGTGGGATTTGATGATTGATTCATATACACGTCTAGTTTCGTGACCAAAAATTCAACCTTGGCATTGGAGAACACGCCCGTTGAAGTGGTGGCTCTCATTTCAAATCAATCACAGCTGAAAGATTTGAAAGACAAGGTCAATACTGATCGGACTGGTTTAACCGATTTAACGATGATTACGTCCCTTTTGATTACAAATCAAGATTTTCTTAGATTAGACTGGGAACAGAAGAGAAAACTTGAAGAAGAGTTGACACCTTTGTGACTCTGAATAACATATACCATAGAAAAGGCCCAATCAACATGACGCGGATCACCACGAGTCCGCATTATCTGCAAATAAGAGAAACATTTCAATGATTGGGTTGTTGATGTGTGTAAATCCGGCTGAAATATAACGTCCGGATTTACATATCATCGTTGAATTTTCTACTAAGACAATGAGTGACCGACGAACTAATTCCAAAATCAAAACTAGCTTCATTGCGAAGATGAGAGGTAAATATTGGTGCATGACATTCTGCATAACATTCAACACTTGTGCATCACTTTCTATCGATTAATTAGAGATCAGAGACCTGTCAATGTTCATCAGGACCGGGATAAAAGCCCCCTCGAACGACACATTCGGGTATCGACCTGTGAGTTAATATATGCCCCTGCTCAGAGGCTAGTAACATTTCTCAAAGGATCAGTGATGTACCTGGTACTCTTGAACAAATCAGGTTGTCTCCATGGTCGCCTTGTCTGTCGTAGTCGTGGCTGTAATCTTCGGATTCTATGATTCTTTCCATAAAAAAGTTCCACCACGCATTCTGCGAGCCAGCATATAGAAGCGTAATCAGACGACGGACAATTGAAGTAAAGCACGATCAAACACAAGGGCTTTACATGCAGCCAGAGAGCAGAGCCCCGGGCGTTAAAATCAGGGGCTCTATATAAGGCATAGCCCGATGTATTGGGTCTATCAAGCAATAAAGAACAGGGTCAAAACATGTCGATAAAAACATAGCATTGCAGTCAATCAGAGGACAAACAAGTGACGCAGAAGAAAAGTAGACAGGGTGCTCCTTCGCAAACAGGCACATGACTCACACAATCAAGTCTTTGTTGTTATCATTAACTACACAAATTCGAACCTTGCACCCGAACGGGGGATATGTCGTCTCGACTGGTCATTAAACAAACATGCTTACGTTTGGCTTTTGGGGCTCGCAATGACACGGATGTCAAAAGGTCGCATAATCTGACAACGTCTAGAGCATCGCTGATGCTACCCCCACCTTCATAGTTCAGTCCAAGTGATAGCAACAACAATTGTAAGGTAATCGATCTGTATCAGCGATGTTAGCTCTGCGTAAGCTTTAAAGCAGTATGACCGAAGTCTTGCACGTGCATCGCTTGGTCATACAAAAATGTGGCTTTCCTGAAACTCTGTGGCTATGATGCAAATAAAGGCAGCCCCTATCTGATGGGTCAGAAATACTGGACGTTTAAACCGTTGGGCTAAATTCTATGTCTCAGCATGAGGCTTGAGAAATGGACTTACAGGAAGAACTCCAAAGCATCTCAAAATACATCGAATGATAAACGCACAATTAAAGGTGCCATGAGCATACCTTCCCTCACTTGACCCTTATCCACACGGTGGAAAGGCTTTCTAGGTGCCGTATCCTTCCAGACTACCAAATGCATAGGATGCTTCTCCTCCTCGTCATCATCATCGACCAATCCGTCATCCGTGCAGTTGAGTTCGCTGTCGGCGCTATACCCAGGTTCGCTGTTATACCCCGATTCCGTGCTGAGGGCACCATCACTGTGATTACTGAACCAGCAAGGAAGCGGGTGATCTGAACCCATATCTCTCACCTCGGTATTCCCGGTGCAGAAACCTGATTCTGATGACGCTGCGGATGCGATGATATCGGCGCCCCAACTTATTTGGTTGCCAACCACACTGAAAAAAAGTTCCCCACTAGAGTCTGTTCCTATTACAGACTTCGGATTGCCCGAGGAAGCGGCTCCAACCGTGGGAGGGTCGGAGGTGTAACTCCTCGCTCCTGAACCTGAACAGGATCCCACAACTGCTCGTTTTCTTCTCTTCCGAGCATGAACGCCTTCCTTCCACCTCCATAAGCTTCTGAGAAAGGCGTGTGACATTTGTTTCTTCCGTTTGCTCCACCTGCGCACCCTTTTCCTTCCTTCATGCATCATGCTTAACCTGGAGGAGGAGATGGTGCACATGCAATTGGCAGAAAACACATCCCACCGTGACTCCTGAACTGCTGGCAGTGAGTAGCATTTCGCCAGTGACGCCGAGCTGGTATCCCCCCAAGTTATGCCTCGTGATGGAACACAAACTGCCGACCCAAAATGTTGCCCGCTGGAAGCCGACACAGCAACATCCCTGCAGGGAAACAGAGCTAAATTATCCGCACAAGCAACCTCTCCACTCTTCAGATTCAGACTAGGACAGCTAACGCTGCGCCCACTGAGTTGGACTCCAAGGCGTGAAGGATCAAACGCGCCTTGACCAATCGCCGAAGTACCAGAATTACACCTCGGGATGCTTGGATGCCCTACAACGTCCGGGTGAAAAGATTCCTCTCTCGCTGGTCCTGCTCTGCCCACATTCCCTTCGACCATCTCTACCGGGCCACCTGCAAACGGCTGCCAACTCGCCATCTGGGCAGCACAGGCATCCAAGTTCCCTGTTGTGAGACTCATCGGACCACCTCCTCATTCCTCCCTCTCCACTCTTCCGTCGAGCTTCTTCCTACCGCCTGGTCTGTCCTGTCTATCCTACTCCTCACTTGCACTAAGCCCCGGGTCCGAAACCCACCGCAAATCCATCCATCGCCGACGCCCGCACGCCTACAAGCACACCGTCCCATAATGATCCACGTTTCCGCGCACCCCTTTCAGATTCATATTCTCCTGGATGTCGATCACCTCTCCTCGTCATTCCTCTCCAAAGAAGATCGCTCCGCCCTGCTATTCAGATCAGATCATCTCACCTCACCGCATTTTCACTCTTCTTCTCACGAGGAATTCGACTCGAACGCCTCTACAACAACCTATTTCTCGATCCAAGCAAAGTGCCAGTGCCCTGCAACCGTGACCGCCATCCCTTCCCCTGCATTGGGAAATGTCTCTGCCCCGCAACACGTTACGAGGGCGAGCCAAGCAGCTCGGGCGTCCATCCTTCGGTCCGGGGGCCGTGTGAGCCAAACAGAAAGTTCTAGACCGGCGCAGGGTCCGAGGTCCGAGGTCCGCTTCAAGAACGCCAACCCTTCTTCCTCCTTCCTCCTGCCTCCTGGCAGGTGCTCATAACCGGGAGTCAGGTGCTGCTGCTGCTGCTGCGAGTTTCTGGACATCGCCGACGGGCCAGCACGAGGGCTCCCGTGACGGCCGGTCGGAGGTCCAGGATCCCGGCGTCGGCTGGCGTCGGCTGTCGTCGTCCTCCCAGTCCACGTAAGATCCTCCGCCATACGAATACGGTGCGGTTGGCCGTATCCCAATTCGTACGAATGTGGCCACGTATGGACGGACAGACAGACAGAATTTATTTCCCGGGAAAGCTGAGAGCCCTCCCTTTCGCCGACCGTGGCAGAAGGGCCTCACCCGCCCGCCCGCCCCCGCGGCGTTCCGAGTTGTAACGTCCGCATCTAATCGCAGCGCCGTGATTGGCCTCCGAGCGCTGCACTGCTCGCCTCAGAGTCATTTGCATCCAATGGTTTGAGGAGCCGGAGCGGACACAAGTCAGAGCAGAGCAGCGGACGGCAGACCTAATCCTCTGCTCGTGATTCCGATGACCCGTCGAAGCTTTTATTTCCTCGCGGCGAATGTTGTGCTTTTGAGGTTTGACATCGTCGCGTCGCGTGGGGAGGATTGCGGCGAGCGGGCGTGCGTGGCCGGCGAACTGCGGCGGTAAAGGCGAACGCCAGTACCGAGAGTGGAACGAGATGCGATGAGCAAAAGGAAGACTTTGATGCAGAACAGAAGAGCATACGAGATGGGAATGTGTGCGTAGCCCAGACCTCATTAAAAGTGGCTTTTGTCACCTTTTCGTTAATTGTGGCACCCAAAATTTCATAAAAATGGTAATTTTGGCATTTGTATTGAAAAATTGTTGTTACAGTCTTGAAACCATAAAATATTGAGTTTATTTCACGAGAAAATCATGGAGTGTTGTTTCTCCATTGTGCTTAGCTTAAGTTCTGCCCTCATGTTATATGTTCAAGGGACACCTAAAGCCATCGAAAGCTAACAAAATTTAGAAGAGTCCATGAACATGCCACATGATTATTCACCGTGGGTATATTCACAGCACAAAGAACTAGTCCTTTGAGAAGAGATGAGTTCGAAATTACTAATCCTAAGGATGAGGATACTGGTCTAAAATAGTGCCAACTTCCAAAATCCAAGAAAGGTGAATTGTATTACTCTTCAAAACCTCAGCTGAAGATGATTAACATCACTTGTCTTCAATACTAATACGGGAGAGAAACTTGGTTTCATGACCAGAATATTCTTGCATTCCAGTTTTAAAAAACCTTCGCGGTGTATGTAATATTATTTTCTTCCGAAAATTACATACTTCAGGTGATCATGCCTTCGATTTAAGTCCACAATTGGCTAAAAAATACAGGGATCTCTTTCCACTCACTTACAATATACTGACAACAATGCGATCTAATGCTTGCTTGATTGGGATAATAACATTCTTCCGTTGTCAACAACGCACTTTGTAAACTTTACGCAGTGCTTGCGAACTTTTAAAAATTTACACTATAAAGCTCAATTGCAACCAAAGAGTCACTATAGAACCAAGTTTAATTGTGGAATCAGCCCAATTTTCATTGTTGCAAAGGCGGCATTTTTTAATAAATAACACTTTTAATGAGGTTACACTGTAAAGTTTACAGTGTAAACTTTACAGTGTTGAGTTTACTCGTTGAGTTTACAGTGTAAACTCAACCGAAGATGTCTGAAAGGGGCGGATTGGAAGGGGAGAGGCCAAGCAGAAAATGCAGAGGAGCGAAGGAGAAACGAAGTGGAACCTGTGAAATTGAATGAGATTTCTCGCCAAGTTCATCAGCGATTCTCGGCGAATTGACGTGGAAATTGCAACGGGGCTGGGCTTGTTTGAAACACATATCACTTTCGAAGCAACTCTTGACCGTTTCGAGTCTCACGAATTCTTATGTGTTTAGATTTAGAGCAGATTGGCAAAAGAACAATGCACAAAGATCACCGTATTGATATTGTATTATACGATGAATCAATTGAACTATTGGGGGTAGCCCTTGGTTACCCCCAATAGTTTGAAACCCACTTATGTTTTTCCCACTTATGTTTGATCTCTTTCCAATCACTTATCCTCAATAGTCGCAACCCACTTCATGTACATGCATGATTTTGCCGCTTATGGATCATGACCAAAGAAAGGCTCAAAGTCGAGAACGTCGCTAATAAAGGCCTGTAAACAAGGTGTAACTTACAGGCATGTATCGCATGACTAAACAATTTAGGATAGATTAAGTGTGAGAACTCACAAGATTCTCACGCAGAAAAGTATCGACTGTCGTTCTGGCGTGCATGGCCCATTGGAATAAATAGTAGCATACATTGACATTTCCAATGACTCTGCTGCAGTCGGCTCTGGAGATTTTCTAACGGATTGAACAACATGACATGGTCGCAATTGTGGGACTTGTTATCACGAGGAGCATTTCAGCCTCATGGCCGAAGTATTCTTGTGAGTACTTTGGTCCACTAGGGGCATTCTCTTCCCCACAGCAAACTATAGGGTTACGAAAATTCGAATTGTAACATATGGTGGGTTATATGGAGTCTGAGTAATTCCATACAATTAAATTAATACCAGCAATAGTGTGCTCCTTTACACATGAGCCAAAATCTTCACCTAAAGCATGAACATTTAAAGATGATAAACTATTGTGTACTATTTAATTTATATTAATTTCCTCAACAAATTTCATGAGTTAGAAATTTGTTGATACTATAAACTATAAATAGTTGAAACATGAGGTTACTCATTAACTGAAGTTAATCTTAACAATCTTTACTTTAAATTGTGTTAAAGAAACAATAATTTTTGTAACCTATATTATTACTTATCGGGAAATTCAAAACAAATGCCTAATACAAGACTCCTCTTTATACAAGAATTAACTAGAACTAAGCTCTAGTCATAACAAAATAGAGTAATAACATAAAGAATTAACTTAAAACCATAGAGTAAACAGAAAACTCGTGACCCATATAATTGCTTCGTGAAAAGTACTAGAAAGAAACCTAATACAAAGTTACTCTTGTCTACGTGAGACTTCAATCAAAAATCTGTTGATGTTTTGATAGATTTTCTCCTTTGCTTGTAGAGGCTTGTCTCGGATGTGCAATAGGTAAGTTGAAACATGGTTCAATTCTCAAAGTCAAAATTTTGACCAAAGTTGATTGAAGGTGTGACTATCTTCACGTCCTCAAACTTGATATGTTTTGCTTCAACAAAGCAACTACCATTCTCTATATTTTGAATTGTCAGATTATCACTAGATCTCCGTAGTTCTTTTGACACTTGCATGAACTCATGTATTCAATTTCCGTAGCCATTAAGTTGAGCTAGCATGCGAGTACTTCTTGCCAAAATATTCAATGTTGGCAGTTTGGAGACTGTCCATGTGTCACTTTGAGTGACTAAGCTCCACCATGCTGACATGGCCACGACCCGGCAATTGAGCGTTTCACGAGAAGCTGGTGGGTGAGACTGGCGGCTGTGTGGGCAAAAAGCTCAGCATCTGATTGGCAACATTTAAGCTGAGGTTATCAACAATAGACACTCAAATTAGCAAACAAGGAAGTGGGCTGCGCCCCACACTCACTATATATTGTATTTCGCATTTTGAGTAAAGCATCTGTTTTCATTGTGTCAATGAAACCTCGTTATCTTACATGGTATCAGAGCGGAGATATCAAAGTGACTGTTAGTCCGTGCCCAACAAGGTCTCACACTATTTGTTGACAGCCTAGCACGAACCGAGTCACTCACTTGACAATTGTAACGGATCACAAGTAGCACTTGTTAGCAATGCATTCATTGAAGAGATGCACTCATTGAAGAGCCATCAAGTTAGAGAGAATTTCAAACTACGCAGTTTGGAGTTTTAAGCTATGTAACATACTCAATAGAGATGATATTTGGCGAGTAGTTAACCCTCCAGCTGGGACAGTGGCACGTACCGCTCAAGCTAATATAAACGCTTTGCAAGTACTAAAGAATAGAGCTCTAACATAATAGCACTATATGTATTAGATAATGTAATTCCCTACATTGCTTGTATTACAAAGCCTGACAAATGTTGGAAGGTTTTGAAAGACTTATACGCCAACGGAACAAACTCCAGAAAGCTTTTACTCCGGCGAAAGCTTTTAAATCTAAGGATGAATGAAGGAGCTGTCATTCCAAAATTCCTGAAGCAAGTTAAAGAACACGTTATTGTGTGTATTGGAGAGGTCATCAACGAATCTGAGATTGTTGAACAAATTTTGATGGCCTTACCGGAGAGTTAAAAAGCCCTGGTGAATTCTGACATGTACCAACCCACACTGCTCACAGTTACTAAGCTCACCGTCATCTTGTTACAATATGACATACGAAGAGAGATTAAGGGTGGCAAGCGTAGCGATCAAGAAGTGCTGTTGACGAATAGTAAGAAGAGCTTTGGAGGACGCATGTGAAGCTGAGCAATCAGCGATGCTCGACACAAGCTCAAGAAAAATACGGCAAGCGAATGCCACTACTATGCTTCTAAGGAACACTGGATGAGAAACTGTCCTACTTTGGCAATTGAGCTGAAGGGACGCAAGGCTAAACGACTGCAGAAGGCAACCTTCATCAACATTGTCGATAACTTTGATAGTACCAGCGAGGAAGAAGAATTTGTGGAAAGTGAGATTAATCTAACCGTCAACATGTTCAAACTAAACCTAACAGAGAGAAGTAGCAATGAATGATTTATCGATACTAGAGCGTCCAAACATGTTACTGTACAAAAGAGCATCATAAGTGACTTGGATTTGAACTGTAGATGCAAGATTAGCACTACAAGAGATCATCCACTGAATGTTGCAGGAAAGGATTCTGTGAAAGTTTCCACACCCTCTATAGGAATACAAATTGACAATGTTCTGTACGTACTTGGTATAAAAAAGAACTTGCTGTCAATCGAGTTGATTGCGGACGAAGAAAAGCGCCCCAAGATTCTGTTTGATTCAA